CGAATTTATTCAAAGTTTTCTAGGATAACCAGCCGCTTTCATTGACGTATTGACTTTAAAGCAGTCCCTCGCACTAAGTATGCTTGTAGCAACAGTAGAGAGTAAAAACTCCCTTTTAACAGGAAGAAACCTCCAGTAGAACCAGGCTCAGTGTGAGCGACCATATGGCGAGGCCGACTGGGAGAGATTGGGAGATGTTAGGGGTTAAGCTAACAAATTCTGCAGAGTGGGATAATGGAGATAGAATGATGAAAAAGGGCAATCTGAGCCTATAGCAGCATAACTATAGAGGTAGCTCAGGATAACCTGAGCCATTCTAAATATAAGCTTTATCAAAAATACCGGTAAAAGTCTTAAGGCTAGCCTTAAAATTATACAGGATGTCTGCCTCACTGGTAATTGGTACCACAAAAGAGTTGGCTCATAACTAAAAGATCTGCCTCCCATTCTACTTTTAGAATTCTAGAAACCACTAGTAAACCTGCAAATTGAGAGCTTACTGCTCTGTTAGGAAAATAAGGTAGTCAGATCTCTGATATAAGATAAAGCTTGGCGATATAAAGGACTTTTGTCTGTAAAATAAGCACAGCCTCCTTTTCCACAATGTGATACACAATGTAAAGGAAGGCCGTTCACCCCATCTAATCTGGCTATCAGATAGGTAATACACATGACTAATAAAGAATAAACCTAACAGAACTCTGGCTGCAGAATTTTGGGTCTGTTAAAGGCTTTTAACTACAGTCTGTGGACTTCCTGATAGCAAAGAATTACAATAGTCCAACCTTGAAGTAACAAATATATTTAATAGTTTGTCAGCATCACCCATGGACAGATTATTTCTAATTTTTGCAATATTCCAGGGATTAAACAAGGAAACTCTAGAAACCTCTATGATATGGGATTTAAATGACAGGTCCTAATAAAAAATAAAACCTTTTTTTTTTATTTTAACATCTAAGATCAATTTAATCCCATCCAAATGAAGTGACTGCCTAATCAGCTTCTTTTTCAGAGACTGGCCCAAAGACAGTAACTTCTGCCTTGTTTATCTTCATCACCTCTACTTAGTCTAGGGGGGCATCAGCAAAGTAGATACCTGAGGGAAGCTTATGAACAGCATAGATTGCTCATTTAGAATTCATGACCTGGACAGAGCCACTGATCCTGCCTGATCTTCAACCACTCAGCAGGCCAGGCCAGAAGAAAGGTGTCCTTCAAATGTCCCAGTACTCCTATGGCCAATCAACTATTAGCTCCAACAAAAGATCACTGAAGTGGGAGCAACCATACTTGACAAAGACTCAAAAAAACTGAGCAAAGTTTGTTGGCTTCCTATTTTTTCCTCTTTACAGTTTTGTGTTAATCAATTACATAAATCGTCAAGAATACAGGGTTTGGTTAAAATATTGGGAAATTAATACATTCTATTCAAAAACTTTAATCACATTTCTCAATGATAAGCAATTAGAGGCATCCAGAAAAAAATCTGCAGAGTCTGTGCAAAAGTTATAAAGACTTGCTGTGATGATCTCTGCATAAGGGAAGCAATGAACTCACTCACTGATTAGTTGCTAAAGCAGCTTAAATTTGTTATACTCAATTTCACTGGTAATTGCTGCAATCAACTTACATTTCCCAATTGATAGAGCGAAATTTTATGTTCCTATAATTTATTTTAAAATACCAAGGTTTCCAGATAAATTATAAAGACAAGTCTACTTAAGATATTCAATATATTTTTGTAGAGATTAAATGAACTAAGGACCCAACTGGTAACTTTTCCCTTGAGGAAGGCAACTAAAAATATTGCAATACCTTGGTAAAACTTTTATTTTCAGCAATGATAAAAAATATGCTAGAGATCCTTTGTACATTTTTGCTTACGTGACATTTTTATGGTTTTCATTTTTATGGTTTTTTTCCTTGAGCTGATAACAAGGGATAAAAAAACTGACATCATTAAACTAAGCATTGTGACGAAATCATTTTAAGCAACATTTTCCAAGTTTGTTTTTTTCCACCCACCCCTATCCACTTACAGGTATAATGATGACGATTTTTTATTCCAAAACATGATTAAGGTCTCTGTCTTGTCACTGAAAGTTCAGTGCAGTTTGAAACATAAGAAAAACATAGATTTTAAGTTACATAGAGGTTGGGACTTCTCAACACTATTGCACTATACGGCCAAATCAGTTTTTAGTAGGAAAAAAAGATACTGCAACACTTAAATCCAACTTAGAAAGGTATGGGAGGGGCATTAAAGGGATAAAGACGACCAGTGATCTCAATGTAATTTCCTTAAAGCAAATGTTTTTTGTTTAACTTACAATTACAAGGGCATATAATTTTATGGCCAGAAAATATAACTATTTTGAAGCTTATCTTACTACTAATCAATTTGGAAAATGATTCAAAGCAATAGACCTCAGCTGTAATACCTCTTTACTTATGCCATTGATGCCGAGACACAAACTCAACACTCTCTGTGACACTGATCAATCTTAAGCAGCTAATACACCATCACTCATCATGTGTCAGCAGGTCATAATGAGCTCTTTGTTCCACAATTACGCACACCTTTACGCAACTCTTTATGGATATATGTGAATATCTACAGCTTGTCAGCCCAACAAATCATCTCACATAGCTTGTTTTAAATGATTCTGCTGATCCACAACTAACCCCCCCCCCCTTGGTTGTGGATCAGCAACTCTGATCCACAACCGTCAATGAAAGTGTCCGTCAAGGATATATTTCTGCTCCTTGGTGCACATACTAATGCTCATTTGCAGTCCAAAACAGATAAATATTTATAGTTTTCATGCAACTAAATTTCTTTTCATTGTTTTTTAGTTTCATTACTTTTTTATGAGACACTTTGTTTAATAATTAAGATTAAACACATAAAAGCTCAAACTCATGAAAAATAAAAAAATAAAAACATCAACGTTGGTGCTCCTTCTGTTAAAACTGATTAGGGTCATATTTCATTACATTTAGGGGTTTTCGTGCTTTATTATTTCTGCATTGAAAAGTGTGCTTTGCTGCTGTTCATTTTCATTTAACAGGTTAAATGTACATTAATTTAATTTGTGGCTACATAAGTTGCTCTTGAAAAATTTCAAATCAAGTGTTTTTTTGTTGTTTTTTGTTTTTTAACAATACTTTCTACACTCACCGGCCACTTAATTAGGTACCCCATGCTAGTAACGGGTTGGACCCCCTTTTGCCTTCAGAACTGCCTCGATTCTTCGTGGCATAGATTCAACAAGGTGCTGGAAGCATTCCTCAGGGAGTTTGGTCCATATTGACATGATGGCATCACACAGTTGCCGCAGACAACAACAAAAACAACAAAACATCAAATAAAGGAATAGATCTATAAGGACTGACCTTAATTACTTCTTATCAGATTGTGAAAACGGGGGAG